TTACTTGATTACTTCTTACTTTTGTTAGAAAAGCTTGATGTCACTAGGGAATTTCCCTGCAATGCCAAAGGGATTACTCATTGGTGTCCCTTGCAAACATAATATCTAACCCACATATTTTCGCTACAATTATAAAGGCATTGTCAATAGGTTTTCTCTCCAGTGCTACGGTTTTACATTTTTGTGGTTTCCCCTGTAATGTTTTAGGTCTCAACCGTCTGTTTTTTTAGAATGATATATTTTTACCATGGACTTTTACATGTAATGCAAAATATCTTACTTCGAGATCTGGATTTGAAATGTCAATGTCTGTCCCCTAAATGTAACTTTTAAAATAAATTAAATAACTTAATGTGGATGTTCCTTTTGAAACTAAATGTCTACCACTGGATGTTCCCTTTGAAACTAAATGTTAAGTGTCTTACCCCTGGATTTTCCTCGCGATGTTTCATAGTCTGCAGGACAGCATCGGTGAACACTTTACACCAATCGTTTCTGGCTGAAATCCTCCTCACTAGCGAGGCCGTAAACGGATAGAAAACTGTAAAAAGTCGACGGTAATTGGTATCATATATGTCACATTTTTTCTTCGTGATTGTAAATATTATTTCAGATTACGTAACCCCTGCACCAGGTTTAGTTGGAAAGATGACTGATTGTTACCAAAGATGAAAAGATCGCATGCAATATATTTTCTGTCGTATTATTGAACAGATCGCCAAGGCCTTATTAAATGGTCTGGTCGTGCATCGTATTTTATAGAAGGATATATAACACACCTGTTTGTTTACTTACAATGTGTTGATACAAATATTTAAATTCTTTTTTGTTCCTTGCATGAATTGTATACATTATAAACTGTCCTTTTCAAGAGAAATTCATTAATGTACACTACTAAAAATAGTGAATATTGAAGTTAACGAAACGTCGAAAATCCAATACGGGTAATCGTGTACGGCACAGTGCGGAGTTACATTCCTGCACAGTACTATCATAATCATATTGCATTAAGATACATGCCAGTAATTAAGATCAGGAAGTTTTTAATAGATGGCTTGATGAACTTCTTGATGGTGACGAGAAAGGGATTATCTGGGTTCTTTTGACTGTCGATCTGCATTCCAAATGCAGTGCTGGAAAGTGACTCTAGTGTGTAGGCCTCGAACCATCTAAAACAAAAAGTGGTTACATCCCATGGCTATCGTGCTAAGGAGAGCATTTTTTTTAATTTTACACATTAATTGTGAACGATACTAATAAACTCTACCTCACCCTGGCGATACAGTTGATATGAGAATAAATATTATCAAGTCATTGTACGAAGTATTTTTATTGTCAGTGGTGATGGTAGTTGCTTAGATAATGCATAGTATATACTATTTGATACGTTTCCATGGAAACCAAATGAAATATAGGGGCTAGATATCAGGTAAGGCATGGAAGCGAGTCAACAGAATATATATTATTCATATATCAAACAGTCGTTAAAATGAGCCTTATGGGCAAATAAATAATAAGACAAATATAAATTATCTACATCTCGGGCTTTACCCTAATACTTTTTCATAGATACCCACTTCCATGGTCAGAAGATGTACCTGTGATTAAGAAATATGTAAAAAGAAAACTTCGTGGTTCCTAGGTATCAGTGTTACAACGACAACCACATCCAACAATTCTTGGACTCAGCAGAAGACACCATTGTCATAATCAATGACAAGTTGAGTAAGGACAAACATATTTGTGAAAAGTGAGCATAGCATGGACATGTAATACTTCAAATCAAACACTGTGTACGCGAATGGTAGCCTTCCTGCAGAGGCAATGCAATCACCAGTGATCAGACATTTTCAATACAAACCTAATGAATACAGAGAACCAAAGCCTTCATCAAATTGTAATTGCAAGCAACTTCACTATTATTTTCAAAGAGCTGACAATCAGTGGATTGTATAATCATATTAATGAGAAAAAAATCTATTTATCTATTTGTGTAAACCAAAATTCGTTTAAATTGTTTTCGTAGCTAATTCTGATATTAATTTAATTTCGACAGCTGGTGATTGTTTTTGTTAGTTTTGACCCATAACCTAGCCAACATTTAAATCTGCATTGGCAAGGGAGATACTAAAATGACATATATGCATTTCGTCTAGGTTCACAATAGCGACAGAAATTAACACTTACTTTTCAATTTAATTATCAAAAGAACAAATATAGTACTCACTCTTTCAATTCTACATCCTCTCCTTTGTTTACCTTGTCTTTCAGCTTTTCTAATAGTCTTTCTATGGCTAGATTGATTAGATCTGTCATCTGTAATAACAGAAATCAATGACACATAACACGAATAACTGTATATGCAATAACGAAATGATATTTTATATAATTTAGAAACGGGAATTGTATATATTTATATGAAAGTTCGTTCTATATTATTAGTTTTCTGAAGGTAAAATAGACTAATATTAGCTGTCTGAATTTCATAATTCCTGTGTCGAAACCAATGGGTACATGTATATCAAATCCAAATAAGCAATAAGAGTAATACATAATACAAAATCTGCCAGGTTTTTTAATAATAATAAAAATCTACTGTTTATATGCAAAATGTTTTACGGTGTGATAATATATGCCATTTAATACGTTGCGAAGTCGTACCGGAGTCCACAAAAGTCCAATACGAGTTCGAAGCACAAGAGAAAAACGGTACATGCATATTCCACCATTAATGACTCTACCCTTGACAACAACGCTGCTCGTCATTTTGAATGGTCTACTAAACGCAGTTATGCCGTTTTCTGTTGTTGTTTTTTTTGGTAAATTTTGTAAAAACATAAAATTAATTTTGTAGTTCAGTCAATACCATAGTGTGTGTAGCAATGGTGTACATACACAATCTCTTGATCTAATGTCGCTAAACCTGTGTCTCAACGTTGAATACAACGACTAGAAAGTACCTTTTCTGATATGTCAGGAATAGATGTATACCTTCCCAAGTATCATCACTTGTGAAGACAAAAATACTGTTTATTTTTCAATATCAAATTTTACCAAATGGGTAATAATGATATTTCACTCGTATTAAAATTGATTTATCACAACGGAATATTTACCTATGGACAAACTTAATTGTTGTTAGATAGTGTTAAACATACTTAATACACGAGGTCGTCAATCAACCTACAGGTGTTTTTTGATTAGCACAAACACGATTCTATCATGAAGTGCAATTCGATATAAACAATGAAACAACTAACGCCTCTTAGTTTGCGGCCACTAAACCCAGGCGTAAGGGTGCGTCTAACAAACTTCCAGTGGTCATTCTGAAGTTGAGTCAACATCTGGTCCATGGGTTCTTCGAGGGCTGCATTGAAGTCATCCTCGAAAGAAATGAAAATTATGTTACTTTTCATGAAGGTGAACATCAAGGTCTTATGACATTGGCTCCACTACTTTGTTTTAAATCAATCGTTATGAACAGAAACTCATCACTAAATGACATTGCACGAGATTATGAAATGGCTAATAGAACGGAATTATACTTGTTGATGTTAATTAGCAGTATTTGTATAGATATTACTTACTCGTCTATTGACAAAGCTGCTGAAATCCTTCACTAAGATCTCCTTTATCAATTCTGGCTTTCCAATATTTAAAACAGGATATTTTCCTTCAAAAGTCCTTGTAAAGAAAACAAAAGTAATCACTGACATCAACACAGAATTGGCGGCTAATCGTTTAGGCTTTCAACTATATCGGGCCATATTTTTGAAGATCTTACCGACTACTGTAAAGCCGGAACGCGCCGCCTTATTAACTTGGATTTATCATCTCCTAATTTACCAGTTCTCCCCCAACTAATGATATAATATACATATTCTGAGGACACGCTGGTATTACGATAGAAGATTGAAGTTTGATATGGCATCAGCCATGCCATTTTAAAGTTCTAGTTAATTTGATAACGTATGATTCTAAAGACAATGAATGCAATGGATACTTCATAGTTTTTGCTTTCCAATATCATGATTAAACGTTTTAGATTGTGCGAATTTTCTCACAAACGTGTTAACAGACCAACGTTCATCATTAAATAAAATAATGATTAACACATCCATCAATTTTATGGAAGTCAAATAGAAATACGTATACCACATCAT